AGCAGGAGGAGGGGGGGCACAAAGGGGCACAAAGGGGGGGGTGGGGCATAAAGGTGGCACCCACCGCCCTGGGTGTAGAAGAGTGGCACAGGGGACCTTGTACTAATTGAGCACAATAAAGCAGATTCAGCCGCCCAGGGTCGTGCATCTCACCCAGAGCCCCAGGAAGCACTCGGGGGGCAACCCAGTGCCCCACCACACTGGCATCCCAAGCCTAGAGGGGTGGGATGTTCAGCAACACCGGAGGGCTGAGGGGAGACAAGACTTGCAGGGACATTGCCAAGGTTGATGGGCTTCCCCCAGGCTTCCAGCTCCCCGTGCTTTCAGCTCCACTTTGATTTCTGGAAGATGAAAACCAAATTTCCCCAGTGCCAACAGGCAGCAATTGAGGCAGTGACCGAAGGTGACCTCGGAGTCTGCTGCCTCCTGCTGTCTGCGCTGGCATCAGGACCCTTGGTGGCACTGGCCACATCCCATGGCCTCTCGTGACACCATGCTACCAGCACAAACCATGTCCCAGCACTGGCTGCACCCCAGCCTGGACACTTGAGCCCCCAGCACGAGCACAGGCAGGCAGTGGTGCAGGCAGAGAAAGGAGCTGGTTTTTTCTCCTGAGGTCCAGCTGGCAGCAGGCTGGCATCCCTGACCCCACCAAGCACCCTGGGCTCAAGGAGCACTACTTCACTGCACCTCTGTGTCCCTGTGCCATCCCAGCAGCTTGTGGCATTGAGGTGCCCCCTCATTCCAAAGGCTTGGTGACCCCAACCCCTTTGACCACCCCATGTGGCACCTGTCGCTGTCCCCAACAGAGCAAGCAGCACAAGGATCTACAACGTATTTATTTCCAGCATGACAGGAGGGCACACAGGGGCATGGGCTGGTGCTGAGGGAAATGCTCAGGAGTTCAAGCAGGCAGGGAACTAGGGGAACTGGAGGTCTGCACCCCCCCGGAGCCGCAGGAGCATGAAGATGGTGCTCATGGGCTTGACGTCGTAGTGCGCCAGCGTGTGCTGGTCCTCCAGCTCCCTGGAGCCGTAGGTCAGGCGCTGCTCTTTGGCAGAAGGCCCTTGCCGGGCCTGGATCTGCTCCTTCAGCTGTCGGACCGTGTCGGTGGGCAGCACCGTGTAGGTAGTGGTCCGATTCTTATCATCCTTGACCAAGACCTGCATCTTCTGGGGCTCAGTCTGCAGCAGCACCAGCGTGGTGCTGTAGAAGATGCCGTATGTGGCCAGGGTATCGCAGTCCTGTAGGATGATGCTGCTTCTGCCTGACTCCTGCTGTGCCAGCCGCTGTGTGTATGTCGGGATGCCCCAGTTCTGCTGGATCATCTCCTTCAGCTGCCCGATGGTGGTGTAGGGGCTGACACACCTTGTCAGTTTGATGCCTGACAGCTGCACCACCTCGATGGTCACGGGCCGGGCTGGCTGCAGGGACAGGAGAGCAAATGGGCAAAGACAGCAGGGGTAGGGCTGGGGGAGTGTGATGCTCACAGGCTCAGGCAGCCTTACCTGCACATTCCAGGGCTGGACATTTGCAAGGCAGGGCAGTGAGCAGCAGTAGCTGGCAGCTGCCTCTGCCATCACGTCCCAGTTCTTGTCTTGGCCCAGGATCCCCGTGGGGTCAGCAGGGTCCAGGATGACAGGGCTGCAAACACAGAGTGGGCATTGCTGTCAGTCCCTGGCAGTACCATGGGGCCAGCAGGGACAACCCTCCTGGGCACAGTCCTCACCGGGATCTGCATAGCAACCCCTTGACATGGGCACCAATCTCTCTGTGCTGGAGCGAGTAGTACTTCTCCCAGTAGATGCAGATCTCCCGGTGCCGGCACAGCAGTTCTAGCACCGTGCGGAAGCCCTGAGCTGTGTCAAAGTAGTCACAGGAGTCTGTGCCTTCCTCCCAGGCATAGATGGTCAGCAGCTCCAGGGCATATTTAGGGGGCAGGTCCACATTGGGGTACTGTGGATTCAGCAGCTGGAGAGAAGACAGAGATGGGGGTGAGAGCTGGCTGGGATGGGTGTCTATTGGGAACTGGGAAAGTTGGGCAGCCCCTCACCTCCTTGTACCAGTGCTTGACCAGGCGCAGGAGGTTCTTCAGCTTGGCAGGACAGCGTTTCACAAACATTTTCTGCAGCTCAGTGAAGCAGGGGGAAAACTCCCCAGGGTGTCTGGAGGCATACAGGAGCCTCACATACACTTCTGGATTTGGTGGGGCATCCTGGGTCACTTGCCCTGTGGAGTGAAAAGGAGGGTGAGAGCCATCCCATCACTGACACCACTGCCTGTCCCTGTGCCAGCCTGCAGCCCTTACCCAAAGCATCATAGGCAGGCAGGATGTCCATATCAGTGGACTCTTCTTCTGTCTCCTTGGAGGACAGAGTAAGGCTGAGGGAGCGCGGCATGTTGTCAGGACCCTTGTACCTGGGCTCACTGATGAACACATCAAACCGCAAGCTCTCCCTGCAGGCCTTCAGCCTTTCCTTGATCAAATCCAGGATATCCTTTCGGTTCATTTTCTGATCCTCATAGCTGAGGAAGCAGCTGAGGAAGAGCACCACATCAGCATCAGAGTTTTTCTTCAGAGCTGTACCCTTTCCTGTTGATCCACCCTGCAGAGAGAGACCCTGCCTGCTCAGCACCACTTGGTTGCCATCACTCCTGGAGCTGCCAAGGGAAACTGAGGCAGGGCGGGAGATGGAGCATGGGACAGTGGAAAGGGTGGCAGCAGGGGTGGCAGCTGGCCCCCAAGCCAGGCAGCACTCACCTTGACGGTCTTTTGGACGCGGATTTTACCCCCAAAGCAGGTCGTCTTCAGGAATTCACATATTCGCCCCACTGTGTCCTTCACCTGCTTGGAGAAAGCTGTGCTGGGCTGCAGGGTGTCCATGATCCAGCTATCCAGGTTCTTGGTGGTTACTGTTCTCAGTCCACCCCCGGATAGCAGCTGGCTCCATTCCATGCTGACAGGTGTGTTTCTTCCTTTGCCCTTTTCTGACTTGCTGCTTCCTACGTCTATCCCTGCCTGCAGTTCTCTGCTCCCCCAGCCTGCTCCCGTCTGCAGCAGCTTTTAAACCTTCCCGGGCCACCGCCCCGATGCGGCACCGCCGGGAACTTAAGGTGGTTCCAGGTGGTTCCCACGAGATCCCGCGGGTGTCTCTGGTGCCACCGCTGCGGGGGCTGGGAGGGGGCAGGAGCGGCTGCGCGTCACCCTGGCATCCAGCTGGGGTGGTGGTGGCACACAGGCAGCTGGCCAGGCTCTGGGGTGCTGCGGGACCTCATGGCCCCGGTGCTTTCGGTGACACAGGGTCTGTCGCGGGTGCCCAGGACAAAGGCAGAGCCCCACCGCAGGCACCAGTCCCCTGCTGGGGGCTCAGGTGTCCGGGCTGGGGCACAGGCGGTGCTGGGACGCCTGGGACATGCTGTGCCATGGTGTCACCACGGGCAATGGGATGAGGCTGTCACCGGTGTCAGCAGATGCCCTGGCATCACTGTAGGCAGTGAGATGCAGACATAACCAGTTTCACCGTGGGTCCTGGTGTCAACACCGTCAGTGGGACACAGCTGATGCCAGCCCAGCATCACCAGGGAGGCTGGTGCCCTCCCTTGCCGTGCGATGCAGCGGTGCCAGCATCACCAGAGCCCTGGGTGGCCCTTGCTCCCGGGAGCAGGAGGCAGCGGATAGGATCCGTAGCGTGTTGAGGTCCGTGCTGCCTTAAGATGGGAAAATGAGAGTTTCAGTTTCTGTTTCGGACGCAAGTTCAGTTTCTGGCTCTGCCGAGCTGGAAACGAAACTGCAAAGGATCGATCCCGCTACTGCCCTCCTGGCCCGAATAAAGTGGGAAGAGCCAAATAACAGAAACTCACACTCGGCAACTCGGCGCAGGGCCAGGAGGATGGGCTGGGGCTTCTGTAGGCAGAAGGGGAGTGTGCTCCTGGGAGCAGGGGCTGGCAAGAATGGGAAGAGGAAGAGGATAGGGAATAGGGACAGGAGGAAAAAGGGGAAGGAGACAGGCAGGGGCTGGGGAGAGGGAGGAAGAGAGGGAGGGACAGGGATAGGGACACGGATGGGGCAGGCAAAGATCAGCAGCAGGGACAGGGATACGAGTAGGAGTGAGATAGGGTCCATTTGGGGTCAGGGACAGAGATACAGACCGGGCAGAGGAGACATGGTCAGGGACAGGGATATAGTCAGGAGCAGGGACAAGGACAGAAGTAGAGATAGTGGATATTAGGAAAACGTTTTTTATGGAAAGCGTGATAAAGTACTGGAATCATCTGCCTGGGGAAGTGGTGGAGTTAGGGTTAGGTTAAACACATCCCTGGATGTGTTTAAGAAAAGTCTGGATGTGGCACTCGGTGCCATGGTCTAGTTGAGGTGTTAGGGCATGGGTTGGACTCGATGATCTTAGACATCTCTTCCAACCCAGTGATTCTGTGATTGTCAGCAGCAGCAGCAAATGGCCAGGTCAAGGATGCAGGCAGGAGCAGGGGTAGGTGTCCCCTTGGTGCTGGGTGACAACAAGGCAGGGGTACAGGCAGGGCCAGGGATATTAGGAGAGGCGGGGAGAGGAGAAGCACTGGGGACAGGGTTAGAGGCAGGGGCAGAGCTGTAGGCAGGGACAGGTGTCATGAGCATTTCACACCTGGCCAGTGCAGCCTGAGGAGCAAGACCAGGACACAAAGATGAGCATGACAAGAGACATTCTTTATTCACACCTGGGGGTTGTCCCAGCCAAATCGAGGCATATGTGATTCACATGTGACTCTTGTACCGTTCAAGTATCAGGGTACAGGAAGGCTCCACCAATTCCCTGCTGTCCCCATGGCTTTGTAAAGCCAGTGCAATTATTTTGCTTTGGCATCCTTCTCTCCTCGTTCTGGAGTCAGTTTCACTGCCTCAAGGGGTACTTATCTGTGAGGCCAGATGATAGGAGGGTCTCAGGGAGGTGTTGGAGGGCCCAGGCTGCAGGCCTTATCTGCCTGCCTCCCCAACCACAGCTATGCAGTGTACAGTGTAACAGGGATAGATCTTAGTAAAGGCCAAATAATTTCATACTAGAAAAGCTAGTTGGTACTTTACTTAGGGAATGAGATTTTCCTAATGAGATGCAGGCAGGGACAGGGACAGAAGAAGGGATATGGGCAGGGATAGTGAGACGGAGCCAGGAAACAGACAGGGGCAGGGAGAGGGGCAGGGATATGCAGAAAATCACGTTAGGAAAAGCCAGTATCCATAAATGAGACAGAGAAGTCCTGCAACTTTATTCAAACAAAGGAAGAGACCCCACTGGTCCATACCCCCATAGACTTTTGGACGAGGCAGCCTCCTTTTATCCTAACTCCTGGCCACACTTTGCCCTCTTCCTTTCCCCATTGCCTGAGGTACTAGGAAGGTACAGCCTTCCCGAACCGACTATCACATGTTCCGCCCTTCAACATGTCATTTTCCCCTGAAGTTCAGAAGTTCAGGCCATCTGAGTTCTGCAATAGACTTTGTGCCGATTCATTTGCCTATTGCCTTAAAGTTCAGGAATTCAAATTGTAGTCAAAATGTCTGGGCTGTGTACCAAACATGTGTGGCTTGAGGTTAGTAGAGACATTAAGACCCATTTCAAAGACACGAACCCTCATTTCTCCTAAAGACCCTCACCCATCGAATTGTTTGTAAATACATCAGTACACATCTTTCCTATCAGGGATGAAGATAGCGTCAGGACAGGGAGAGAGGCAGAGATACGGGCAGGGATACTGAGCGACCGGGGGTGCAAATAGCGCCTGGATAAGGAGAAATGCAGAGAGAGGGTCAGAGAAACGGGCAGGGAGACCGGCAAGAACAAGAACAGGGACAGGGACGGG